CGCAGGTAGGGCCAGGCCCCGAAGGAAGGGGAGGGAGGGACCGAGGAAGACCAGAGACAAGGACACGGGAGGCCATGCTTCGGAGACGAAGCAGGGAGGGGTGACCAAGGCGGTGGTGCCAGAGGAGAGTCTCGTGAGACAGGAGGCGACACGAGCAGGGGGCAGACTCAGGACCAGACCTGGACGCTGCAGCAAACACCTGACCCGATGCAGCTACCTGACCAGACGCAGGGACTGGAGGAGACTCAGTGGTAAGTGTGTACAGGCTCGACCCCGGCCGACGAGTAAACGTGGCCAGGTGTCGGCCTGTCCGAGCGTCCGTGCAGTGGGTCACCCGCTGACTCGCAGGAGTGAACTGGTGAACCCCCGCATCCTGCAGGTCAGCACCACTCACCAAGTTCGTAGAGAACGAGGGGAGGTAAAGACCAGACAGGGTGCCAGAGGGGGCCGCCGGACACGGGAGGACAGTGGAGAAGTGAGCAAGGACAGGGCCCCCAGAGGGGTATGCCAGAGAGACTGCAACTGGCCGACCAAGCTGCGTGAGTGTGGTGCGGTCTCGAAAGAAGGAGCGGGAAGCCCCCGAGTCAAGGGTGAAGGTGTGAGAGGCCGGAGCCGACGCGGTACCTGAGAGAGCAGACTCACCCGCACCTGAGGAAGCAGACTCACTAGCACCTAGAGCAGCAGCCGCACCTGTGCCTGGAGCAGGAGACACACTAGCACCCAGAGCAGCAGCCTCACCAGCAGCTAGAGCAGTAGGCTCGATACCCGGGTCAGGCGGTACGCACAGGTGACCGGCACGGTCAGCACCAGTAGGCAATGCATACATGGCAGTGAGAATAGCATCATAGTCAAGAGCAAATATATCTACCCTCTGCCTAAGCAACTCCACCCAGTCGGGAAGCTCAGCCTCGTCGCAAACTCGGTACGCCAGGCGTCGCTCAGACGGGCGAAGCAGCGGGACTGTGTGTGACTAGGCGTCCCACAAGGCTGACCAGTCCGAGCACCAGTGCGAATCACGTAAGAGCAGCGAACAGAACTGAGAGACCCTCCACTCTGAGCGTACCACTCATGAAGCTGCTGGGGCGTGAGAGACGCGCGTGGGGGTCGCTGGAGCTGCATCTGGTCGCCGCCAGCAGTAGTAGCAGTAGTAGCGCCGCCACCCCTACAACCCCAACCAGCGTACCACTCACGCAGCTGCTGGGGCGTGAGGGACTCACGCGGACGTCGCTGGGGCTGCATCTGGCTCCGCCAGTAGAAGCAGGAGCAGGAGTAGCAGCAGTAAGGCAGGCAGCCAAGCAAGCGGCAGGCAGCGCGCTAGTAAGTCAGGGGCTCACCAGTGGTGGGAAGAGCAGGCTCGACGACTGGGCGACTCGGCGACTCGGCGGTGCGGGCGGCTCGGGCGGCTCGGCGGCACGGCGGCACTGCAGCAACTGCGGCGCGGCGGCTCGGCGACTCGGCGGTTCGGGCGGCTGAGGTGGCGCTGCGGCTCGGGCGACTCGGGTGGCTCGGGTGGCTCGGCACTAGCTCGGCGGCGCCGGCGGCTCGGTGGTGACGGCGGGGCCGCTTGGGGACGGCGGCGGGGCCGGGTGGAGCGGCGACGGGGCCAGTAGAGGTGGCGCCGGGGCCGCAGGGTAGGCGTCCGGGCCAGCAGAGGCGGCGCAGGGGCCAGCAGAGGTGGCGCCGGGGCCGGGAAGGGCAGCGCCGGGGCCGCAGGGGTAGGCGACGAGGCCAGTAGAGGCGGGGCCGGGTCGGGAAGAGCGGCGTTGGGGTCGCCGGGGTAGGCGACGGGGCCAGCCGAGGTGGCGCCGGGGCCTGGAAGGGAGGAGCCGGGGCCGCAGGGGCAGGCGACGGGGCCAGCAAAGGTGGGGCCGGGTCGGGAAGGGCGGCGTCGGGGTCGCCGGGGTAGGTGACGGGGCCAGCAGGGCGGCAGATCGGGGCCGCGAGGGCGGCGCGACGCGGCCGCTAGGGCGGCGCGACGGGGTAGCGGGGCCGCGCGCCTCGGGGCGCGCGCCAGAAAGAAAATTGCCGCGCGCCAAATAGGTCGCACGCCACGGGGCGTGCGACAGATCGAGTAGCAGCGGAAGCAGTAGTAGGGCCCTAGGAACAGTTCCCACGAGGGAACCTGCTCGATACGATGAGAAAACTGAAACGAGGATGAATGAACTATGAATGAAGTGGGTACAAGTACCAACCCTAATTGGGTTGTACCCCCTATGGGATACCCCACTACAGCCTACACAAAAGCATAAGCTATATGTTCTGACATAGGTGTCTTATAATGAGGCTACCCCGTTTACAAGAGACACCCGTATAATAGACAACCCCTGTCTACTATTCAACACTGTCTTATATCCGGGTGATGACGGTAGTGAAAGCCCCTCTTCTTCTGTTATCATTTCTCTTTCGTAAAACCTAAACCCTAGCCATGGCTACTAAGCTCCAGCTATGATTCTAATATCTGGATGCCAAGTGTTACGCGTGCAAGTGAGCGAGCGAGCGAGAATTGCACTGTCGAAGTAGAAACATGACAATTAGCGAATGATTGAGGGAGAACTGAATAGCGAAGGCCACAGTACTACCGTAACGGTAACGAACTGTGGGTGACGCACGACGGGCCTGGGACTGAGGTTGGGAATGTTGAGGCGGAGGCCTGGAGCGCGGGTTACCAGGCGAGCCGTGAGGTCGGGGTGCGACGGGCGAGGTGGCGGGAAGATTGTCGAAGCGAGGGTTGCGAGTGGTAACGGCGCTAAGTGTGGTGCTACAGTGACGTACGTGCTAAGCAGGGATGCGGCGTAAGGAAATGGAACCGTCATCGCCCGGATAGAAGACTGTGTTGAATAGTAAACAGGGGTTGTCTATTATCCGGGTGTCTGGCTAGCCTCATTATAAGACACCTATTTGTGTGTACGAATTAAGCCAGTGTAGGGGTTAGGGGCAATTGTATAGCGAGGGGGTATCTTCTAAACGGTTCTTTGTCCATTTATAAGACTTATAAGTCACCCTAAACTGTCCCAAACACAAGATAACCCAAGCATTTTGAGTAGTGTACGAGATAAGACATATATGTCTTATATCCGGGCGATGACGAAAATTTCCTTACAGCATCAAATGCAAGACGCTCCACACCGCAGATCCAAACATTGCCAGAAATTGCTGGAACACAACAGCCAATAGTATGGAACCTTACACGTGTATTTTTACCGGTTTGATAGGGTAGTACGCAGGCCCTTGTCAGAATGTTATCATCTAGCCTGTAGTGGGGTGCTCTATACCGTCATCACCCGGATATAAGACATGTATGTCTTATCTCATACATTAAAAAAATCAGTCTTATAAATGGACAAAAATCCATTTAGAAGATACTTCCTCGTTATACATTTGCCATTTGCCCCTACACACAAATAGGTGTCTTATAATGAGGCTACCCCGTTTATAAGAGACACCCGTATAATAGACAACCCCTGTCTACTATTCAACACTGTCTTATATCCGGGTGATGACGGTAGCGGGTACAACCCAGTTAGGGTTTGCTATATGTATCCCAACTGCTGCTAGTGAACCTCTCCTTTGTTCATTTCTCTCTTGCCTAGCTAGCTAAACCCTAGCTATGGCTCCTCACTGTGCTTACTCTTGTAACAGCCCTCAGATTGGTTTGAGGGTATGCTGATGGATCAGCGTGCCCCGGCCAATGAGGTGTCCAAATCAGCGTTCACTGTTTTTTTTTATACTGATTTTGCCAGTGTAAAAATCATAAGTAAACTGAACCAACACTGTAAAAACAAAAAACTATAGCTGAAACCCCAGTACAAGGTGTGTGGTGTTGTTGCTGTGATAGGTTCCAGCGGCGCGCACCTGATATCTGTGCAGTGCATGCGAAAAAATGCCAAGCGTGTGGGTGGGGTCTCAGGAATCACGGGAAGGTACAGATAGGACACGCGTACCCTATCATCCCCCCTCCCCCCCCCCCCCCCCCCCCCCCCCCACACACACACACACGCGGTCAACTCCGTTTCAGTGTGACTCACGTCACTATACTGATTCGTCAGTGTTACTTGTACAGCAACACGCAAAATGGTCAGTGTGGCAACATGTTATACTGAAATTTCAGTGCAAAATTGAGGCATATGCTGAATTTTCAGGGAAAACGAAAATCACAGCTACAAAATCAGCGTAATCAGCGTGTTTTACGCTGATATCTGAGGGCCTGGTACTACGGTATTCATTTATCATGTTTTCAGTAAAGGCAAGCAAAATAAATACGGTAATATATCACCTGAGTGCTATTCTCTCAGAACAAGTCATCTTGGAATAAGGAAAAGGCATGCATAGCATTCTTAGTCACCTGCCTCAAATAATGCACTGCACAACAAGGTGAACCTAATCGATGTTTTTTTGGGTACTAAACCTAACAGAATTAAGTGAACAATTACCAACCAAGACTATCCCAATAATTTTATGTGAGGGCTTTAATCCAAGGATGCTCTGTTGCATTAGTTTGCAATATGGAGTTGCCCATACAGTTCCATGGTTGGGACATGGGGAAAGCAGCCGGGACGAGGTGGGGGACACGGGGATGGAATAGGGAGGAGGGAGGGAGTTGGAGGCAAAAAGATGAGTGAGGGGGGCAGAAAAGCAGAGGAAAAGGAAGCACTATGGAATGGAAACGCTGATTCATGAGATCGAGAAATAAAGCAAGTACTAGCATCACAAAACAGCCCGCACAGCATGGCACACCCCGGTACAGCACTTCGCAGCACAGCACAAGACACTGGAAAACGCTGACAGATGAAATAAGGGAGTGAGCATCAACGCAAGCAACCCTGCTAGTAACCCCACAAACAGCGACACACCAACGCAACTCACTCAGTATATCCGGCACCCTAGTCTGCTCGTCGAAGCTCCGGCACAGCACAAAATGGCACAGCATGGTATAGCACCTCACAGCACAGCACAAAGCGGAGTGAGCAGCAACGCTAACAACCCCACAGATGCCAACTCACTCAGTATCTCCGGGACGGTGATCCGCTCGTCGAACCTCCGGCACAGCATCCGCCGAACCAAGTCCTTTGCCGCGGCAGACACGTCCGGCCAAGGCTCGGTCTCGAGATCCAACGGCTCGTACAGAATACTCGAGAAGATCTCCTCCGTTGTGTCCCCCCAGAATGGCGGCAGCCCGCACAGCATCACATAGAGTATGACACCTAAGCTCCACACATCCGCCTCGGTGCCGTAGTTTTTCGCGATGACTTCTGGGGAGATGTAATTCGGAGTGCCAGCGCGTTGGGTGCAGCGCTCGCCGTCCTGAAAGCGGTAGGCCATACCGAAGTCTATGACCTTCACACGCGTGTCACTGCGTGTCGACACAAGCAGCACGTTCTCGGGCTTTAAGTCGCGGTGCAGGATGTGGTGGGAGTGGCAGTAGCGCAGCACGTCGGCGAGAGTACGGCACACCTGCACGGCACAGAACAGCACAGCACATGAGAAGCACGTTCAGTTGCAGTGCAGGATGCGGTGGGAGTGGCAGTAGCGCAGCACGTCGGCGAGAGTACGGCACACCTGCACGGCACAGAACAGCACAGCAGAGGAAGCACAGCACATGAGAAGCACGTTCAGTTGCAGTGCAGGATGCGGTGGGAGTGGCAGTAGCGCAGCACGTCGGCGAGAGTACGGCACACCTGTACGGCACAGAACAGCACAGCAGAGGAAGCACAGCACATGAGAAGCACGTTCAGTTGCAGTGCAGGATGCGGTGGGAGTGGCAGTAGCGCAGCACGTCGGCAAGAGTGCGGCACACCTGTTTGGGCGAGCAGAGAAGGGATCAGCATGGCACAGCACAGCATAGATTGAGCTTCCAGATGTGCTGTTCAACCATCGTAAGGACGGAACTTTGTAAACTCATATGTCAGGGAGGGTGGAGGATGCGGTGGGAGTGGCAGTAGCGCAGCACGTCCGCGAGAGTGCAGCACACCTGTGCGGGGTTTGAAAAAAGGGGAAGTAAGAGAAAAGCTTGTTGCTGCGCAGTGCGACGAGCATTGGGTTTCCAGTCGTGTATTCCATCGAGATGTTGCGAGTCAGGTTTTCAGAGGTGTTTTTGAAGGAGCATAAAAGAACTAGGCATAAAAGAAGAGTAATATCAACCACCTGGTTAAGCGTGCGGCACACCTGCGTGGTTTCCCGACTCTGGTAAAAAAAAAAAAAAACAAGCAAGCAAGCAAACAAACAAACAGTAGCACGCGAGGGTGCCGCCTATGCCTACCTGTGCTGCTTGTCTCTCGGTGAAGTGGTTGCGCGCGACGATGCGATCAAAGAGCTCTCCACCCTCGCACAGCTCCATCACTATGTGCACGTCCTGGCAGAGGGGGGAACCCGGGGAAGGGGGAGAGGGAGTTGACAAGCTGTTGAGGGGAGACGAGGGCCACGGCACCGATACCATCCAAAAGCTCTCCGCCCTCAAAAAGAGCTCTTTGCTCTTTGCTCTTTGCTCTTAGAGAGGAGCTGCTTTTTGTGAACTCTTTTCTCTCACACAGAGGAGAGAGGAAGTAGGCCTCTCCACTTGGGCACATCAGCATTCCCCACACATCATTCCTTGCATGCTGTGCTGATGTGCCCACAGGGGTAATGGGTTGATAAAAAGAGGTTGTGTGCCTATGGTGGCTTTGAAAGAGGGTTGCTGACAGTACAGGGAGCACACAGGGTGATTGCACAAGGGGAGGCGTTGTGAGCTTGAAGTGGTGTTAATGAAGGAAGGTCTTCTGCAGTGCCGGTATCGAGTTTTGAGACGTCTCAAAACTCTTCCGTAGTGCCGGTATCCTTTCATCAAGGCACAAACCAGCTTCTGAATGAAGAGTGTTTTTGAGTCGTCTCAAAAACACTCTCATTTTGAGACGTATCAAAAACACTCTCATTTTGAGACGTATCAAAAACACTCTCATTTTGAGGCGTCTCAAAAACACTCTTATTTCGAGACGTCTCAGAAACACTCTTGTCTTCCGTAGTGCCGGTATCCTTTCTTCAAGGCACAAGCAAACTTCTGAGGCAGCTCAGAAGTGAGTTTTGAGGCAACGTCAATGGAAGGCCGTGTCAACTCACCGTGTCATCTCCAGTATCAACTCACCGTGTCATCTCCAGTATCAACTCACCGTGTCATCTTCAGTATCAACTCACCGTGTCATCTCCAGTATCAACTCACCATGTCATCTCCAGTATCAACTCACCGTGTCATCTCCAGTGTGAACTCGCCGTGTCATCTCCAGTGTGAACTCACCGTGTCATCTTCATAGGTATCCATCAGCGACACAATGTTGGGATGGCCTTTCAGCACTCGCATCACCTCCACCTCCCTCCTTAGATCCTCCAAGTCATCCAGGCACTGGCAGGCAGGGGAGCAGGAGAAGGGGAAGAAAAGAAGAGGGGGTTGAGGGGTGCGTTTCAAAGTGGAATGCATCCCTCGCTTGAGCTATCGCATCACCTCCACCTCCCTCCTCAGATCCTCCAAGTCATCCAGGCACTGGAATGGAAAAGGACATAGGGAGGAGAGCAGGGAAGGTGAGGGGGAGGAGAGACAAGAAATGTAAGAGCACTGGCATGCACCCCTTGAGCAATCACGTCACTTTAGCCCTCCTATTGTTCCCCCTCTTTAATTTTGCTGCTCCCCGCACTCACTTCCCTGCCCCCTCACTCCCCTCTCCCCATCCCAAATATCCCTCACCCACTCATTTACAACCCTCACCTCCAGCCCTCACCTCCAGCCTTCTCCCCTCGGCCCTCTCACCTCCAGTCGTTTCTTGTTGACGCTCTTGCACGCGAATCGTTCGCCAGACACCCAATCCACGGCCTCCCTGATCACCCCGAAGTTCCCTCTCCCCAGCTCCTTGCCCAGCTGGTACACCTTGCGCACGTCCGACAATCCCCTGCCCAGCACCGACGCGGCCTGCTGCTGCATTGCCGCCTCCTCCTTCCTCCGCCACTCTGTTAGTGCTGCCTGCACCAGCGCTTTCACGTCCGATGTTCCTCCTCCTCCTCCTCCTCCTCCTCCTCCTCCTCCTCCTCCTCCTCCTCCTCCTCCTCCTCCTCCTCCTCCTCCTCCTCCTCCTCCTCCTCCTCCTCCTCCTCCTCCTCCTCCTCCTCCTCCTCCTCCTCCTCCTCCTCCTCCTCCTCCTCCTCCTCCTCCTCCTCCTCCTCCTCCTCCTCCTCCTCCTCCTCCTCCTCCTCCTCCTCCTGCTGCTGCTGCTGCTGTCTCTTTCTTGCCAGCTTCACTTGCTGCTGCTTGCACCATTGCTTTCACGCCTGACTTTCCTCCGCCGGCTCCAGCTTGCACCATGGTTTTTGCGTCGGCCTTGCCTTGCTTGCCCCCTTGGGAGCCTCCTGCTGTCTCTTTCATAAAAGCTTCGCCTGCTGCTGCTTGCATCAGGGCTGTTTCCGCCTTCCCTTGTGCTGCTGCTGCTGCTGCTGCTGCAACAGCTTCTTTAGTCAGAATTTCCTGCTCCCTCACTGCCTTCTCTCCTCCTTCCTCCACACTGCCTGCCTTTTCTGCTGCTCCTGCTCCTCCTGATGCGCCTGCTGGTCCCTCCTCTCCCTCCCCTTCCTCATTTACCACATACGCCTCTCCACCCATGTACCTCCCCCAGTCCTCCTCCTCCCCTTCCTCCTCACCCTCTTCCTCTTCCTCGCCCTCCTCCTCTTCCTGCTCTCCCTCCCCTCGTCCCCACGCCCCGCCCATCCATCCACCAGCAGGCGAAGCAAGCCGGTAATACTCACTGGGACTCGGCGTGCGAATAGGACCCAGAAACAACCCCATACCTCCCTTCTTCCCTCCTCTTCCTCCTCTCGCTCCCCCTTTCGAAGGTGAATTCACAGGAGGGGAGGTATTAGGGGAGATTCCAGGCCTGGGTGACTGGAGCGGCGTGCTTCCCCCCACCAACCACTGCCCCGAACCTCGCCTTCCCGAGCCTAGCCCTGCGGGTCCCGAAGCAAAGAAGCTCTGAATCTCGGCCAGCTTTTGCTTGTCCCTCTCTGCCAGAGCAGCCATGGATTGTGGGCTGTGAACAACACTGCCCCCTCCTGGGGTATACGGGTAATTTGCATAAGGACTATTTGCATTTAAAGACGCCGAGGATGATGTACTAGGGAGGTAAGTCGGCGAGGAGAAGCCGATTAAGTTGCTCGCGGCGTTGCCTCCCGGACTTGAGCTGCCGGTTCGGATGATGCCGGGGCTGGGGAGGCTCGGGCTTCTCAGCTTCGGGCTGCGGAGGCTCGGGCTCTGCAGGTTCGGGCTGAGCACACTGGGGCTACGGTGCCTGGGGGAGCGAGAGAAGGTTGCTGGGATGGCTGGTGCTGCTCCTGCTGCTCCTGTAAAACCTCCTAGTAATTGTGCTGGTCCGGGCACGCGGCCTTGAAGCAAGGTAGCATGAGAAGCAGAGGCAGGAGACTTATGGGGAGGGAGGCGGTAACTGGGGGAGGGTGGGGTGCCCCGTGGACTGGCGTTGGGCGGGCTGGTGTAGGGCGACTTGAGTGACGTGTCACCGGGAGCGAGGCTGCTGCTGCTGCCACGTGGGCTGGTGGAGTGCGGTGACGTGGCAGGGCTGATGTTGTCGTGATGGGGAAGCACGATTCTCGGCGTCCGGAACCCCTTGGGCCTGCTGCTATCAGGAAGGTTCCTGCTGGTGTCAAAAAGGTTCGTGGAGGTGGAATCAGGCTGGTGACTTGTACTTGCCGATCTCCTATGTCGTCCAATGATGCCAGTGCTGCTGGGGCTGCTCAGGCCGTACCCATGCTGCTGTTGCATAACACCACCAGCAGCACCAGCAGCACCACCACCGCTGCTAACGCTGCTTGTTCTCCTGTGCGTCCCCCCTTTATGTGCACCAGGTGAGCCCAATCCCAATCCACTGAGCCTTGTCCCTGCGCCACTCCCGCCCATGCCCGCGGTGCTCCCGCCCATGCCCGCGCCAGTTCCGCCCATGCCGCCCATATTCCCGCTGCTGGCGCTTCGAGGCACCCCTGCGCTTCCAAAAACCGTGCCCATGGCGGGAGTGAACCCCATGCCGCCCATACTGCCGCCCATACTGCCGCCCATGCTGCCGCCCATGCTGCCGGCCATGTTCCCCGCCATATTCCCGCTGCTCGCGCTTCTAGGCACCCCGCCACCCCCCCGCGCGGGATCAAGCACCGTACCCATGGTGGGGGCGAATCCCATTCCCGCGCCGCTCACCCCCATGCCCGCCCCACTTTGCCCCATGCCCGCCCCACTTTGCCCCATGCCCGACCCACTTTGCCCCATGCCCGCCCCACTTTGCCCCATGCCCGCCCCACTTTGCCCCATGCCCGCCCCACTTTGCCCCATGCCCGCCCCACTTTGCCCCGTGCCCGCCCCACTTTGCCCCATTCCCGCCACGTTTCCGCTGCTCGCGCTGCGAGGCACGCCTGTTCCCGCCATGCCAGCATCAAGCATCGTACCCATGGTGGGGGTGAACCCCATGCTCGCACCGCCTTGCCCCATACCCGCCACGTTCCCGCTGCTGGCGCTTCGAGGCACCCCGCCACCCACACCGCCCGTGCCCTTCCGCCCGTGTAAGGAAAAGTGCCCCCCTCCCCCCGCCGCCCTGCCTTCTCCACCCATCCCCGCACGTCCCCCTCCCCCCGCTCCCCCCGCTCCACCCCCTCCGCCTTCCCCCATTGTCGCGTACGTAGTTCGGCTTCTGGGGAGGCTGGCCACGTCAGCGAGCGGCCCGCCCGCGGAAACCCTCGAAAAGCTTCCGCCAGTCGTTTTGCTCCGTCCAATGGGGCTGGGCAAAGGGCAGGGCCCGCCGCCCCCCTTTCCGCCTGCCCGGGGGCTAAGCGGGGGCAAATGCGCGCCGCTGCCTGCGAAACCCGCGCCAAACCCGCTGGTTCGGGGGCTCGTGGGCGGAAGTCCCCCCATCATTCCGCCCCCCCAGAGAAAGGTTCCGCTGCTCTGTGTTCGGCGGTGGTTGGGCGGGGAGGTAGTGGGGGACATTTGCGCGTGCCGTGACTGTAACGAGCTGTTCGGGTCTGCGTCTGACGGGGACATTGGCCGCGGCGGAAGCCCCTTGGGGCTCGGAACACGCGGAACGGCGGAGGCGGAGGCGGAATCGTCTTCCGCCTGCCATCGTTCCCGACTCCGCGGAATTGCGCTTCCGCTTTTTCTCCGCGCATAATACTCAAGTCTGTCCCCGCCGCCGCCAGTAATGTCCGCCTCCGCTTCCGCCCCCACCACCTCCGCATTTTCCGCCGCCGTCCCCGTCAACTCGCGATTTTTCGCGCCATTGTCCGCAACTGCCGCCGTTCCTTCCGCGCGCTCGTCCTCCTCCTCCCACAGGCTCGGCAGCAACTCCTGACAGATCGACCCCCCGCGACTCGACCCCCTTTTCCGCGCCGCCGCCGCAGCGCCAGACTGGACAACCGTGCTGCGCGCGATTAGCGTTGACCCGGTCGGCGACGTCGTTGACCCCGTCGGCGACGTCGTTGACCCCGGCGACTTCTGTTGACCGGTTTCGGCTTCCGTTGACTCTCCATTGTCGCGGTTACCACCAGAAGAGCTTGTCGGCGAGTGAGCACTACCAGACGAAATCGTATAGTCGTCATTCGAAGCGATAGACGTAGCATGCCTAGTACTACCTGTGACCGTCGTAGTACTACTACTATTAAAAGACTTGCCGCCTCGTCTACCGTCGCGTCCGCCGTCCCTTCCGCCGTCACGTCCGCCGTCTTTCCCGGCGACGACTCTGCTATTGGTGCTCAGCAGCTGCATTCCTCGCTGCACCATCGTCATCACGCCGCCGCCGCGCGACCCGCCGCCGCTACTACTACCACTACTACTATGATTGCCGCCGGTGTTGGCGCCGTCCGCCGCCGCGCGCGGGGAAGGTTCGTGGAAGGAGAACGCGTCCTCTGACCTGTACCGACGATGATGACGTGGCAGCGGCGATTGCGCCTTCGAAGGTCTTAAGCTCGCCGGTATTGGGGTAAACTGCTGAGCTTCGACGTTCGCGAGATTACTATTAACGGGGACCTTAGCCGTCGGTGAGGAGCCGTGATTAGCGCTGTTGACGTATCTACTACTGGTCTCAACGGCGCCTCCTCTCGTCTCGCCCTCTTTCCCGCCGCTACCCCCGCCGCGTTTCTCGCTTTCCAATTCCGATGCATTCTGACCTTCTGATCGGTCCTGGTCGAAGGCAAATGCAGACTCCGATTGGCTACGAAAGTGCGAAGCTCTAGTCGCTGCCGCTGCGAGACTCGGGTGGTAACCATGACGTTGGTCGGCCTTGACGTTAAGCGGGTCGTCGGTGACTGTCGGACGGATTAAGGGAAGCATCATGTCGTGCAAGTTGAAGCAAATGCAGCCCACCTTCGAAAGTTAGCGAAGCGTAACTTTATGAAAGAAATAGCATAATTTGAGCTGATTCGAGTCGACGCACGATGGGAGGAACCACGAAGAAAACAGTGCCGAAAAAGGGCTCAGCGAGGCGACTCGGAGAACGACTAATCTTCCTCCGAGGGGAACTAACTGAGCCTGCCACGTCTTTGTCTGCACTGCGAAAAATGATTCCTGAGACCTGCATCGCAGAGCTCTTCTCTTTGAAGTCCTCGAAAGCAGTGCAGTAAAATAGTTTAAAACAGTGTGTGCATCTCGAGGATCCTGAAATTACGCTAAGGGTGGCGAGAATTGGCTGATACTTCGGTGCTCGCCGGCCATCGCGACTCGAACTTATTTTGGAAAGGACATGTGGGCCCGTTGTAATTCATTACTGTACACGTTCTGCACTATGCATTAGTTCCGTCCAGATTCCACAGCATATGATCGGATATTCATTCCCCCACAAACTGTCGCTGCGCATTTCATTTTGACACGAATTTGTTCACTGAATTCATGGGTACAAATGCATTAGAGTACATTGCGTACATTACATTGCTGAGTGGTACATTACATGCTTCTGGCGCCTGGATTATGGATGGCGTCGTCCCTTGAAAGGGTTTATTTGGGCAGAAAGCAAACATCTTCATGGCAGAGCACTACTGGCAAAGCACCCCACTTGGCAACTGGATTACCGTACTGTGTACCCAGGACTCCGGGACTCAAAGAGGACCACCAATCAGGGAAGAACAAGATTCCAGCATGCCCTACTGTACGAATAGCACAACTGTACGAAGCAACGGGAGGGAAGCGCTCCTGTGCGATGCAATGTTTTGCAAGGCCAAGCCGCCTTGCGCATCCTGCGATTGATGCTTTTCGCTAAACAGCGCTAAGTAAAAGAAAATAATGGATTATATGAGTCGGATGTTCACCAATAATTTTAAACACCAGACGTCTGCATCTACTTAATTGATCGGGAAACTTTCTACAGAAATATTTTGGGGGTTCATCAATCCCTCGCCGATCCACTTGCGTAGTGTAGTTCACCCACCAGAGCGTCATTGTGGGTCCTGAGTTCCTCGGCAACATCAGATTGAACGAATGAGAGAGGTAAGCCAAAATTACCAGCTGCCAACGAGCTGTCGCACAGCTAGCACGTCAGCGGAACGTCTGAACTCAAAACAAAGTTGACATTCTACCTACAGTCCAGAACCCAAAACACTATATCCCTACAAAGTATAATGGACAAACCAAACAGGGAAGGTAATGAGCGCAAGCAAACATACAAAGCTTCCCTTCGTACTCTTCGTCAATTTACACATAAAGTTTTGCATGGTTATATTACAGGAAAGCTTGGGCACTTTGCCATTTGTATTCCCTCATTCTACCCTAGCTATCCCTTGCCTCGCCCTCAATGCGCCCCCTAAAGCGCGCGCCCAGTGGAGCGCTCCTGGATCGCCAAACAGCGCAACCCGTGGAGCGCCTTATAACGCAGCACTCATGCGCCAGCCAACCACGCCCCTGCCCCATACATAGCACCACCCGCGCTGTTGTGCAAGCCCATCCCATGGTCTAACACCGCTGCGCCTGCGCCCTAGCGCTAGCTTGCCCAGCGCCCTGGCCTAGCGTCGCACCGTCACCGCACCCGCACCCTAGCGTCATCCACACCTCGCCTAGGAAGCAGCGTAATGCAACTTTCAAGGCGTGTACACAAGTTGGGTGTCGTGGTGCACCTTTTGCTCCTCCGAAGTGTCGGCAACAGGAATGGACCGTACGGTATCTAAAAAACATTGTTGTTATTGCTGCCTTGCCTTATGGTCACTTGCCTCATGAGACATGACTAATGCTGCCGCCCCCAGGTGTTTCTCATTTTGTAGGCGCTGCCCTTCACATACCGTCATACCCCGGATATAAGCGCTGTTACAATCCCAAGTGGGACTTAGCGAAGGATCGCTCGGGGTTGATCGCTGAGTCTTGTTGCAGCGGAAGTTTTGAATCTCAGGTCAGAGTGAATGTAAATGAGTGAGTTGATAAAAGCATGCATACATCGAGTTTATATAAGAATACAAGGGAGTACGAAAAGACCTAGACTAGCGATGTACTCTAAGGGGTACATTCCCTTATTGCAGCGAATTCAAACCGTGCGGCGCGGGAACCCGTTTTGAACATGTTCCCGCATTTTCCATTTCGAATATTGCTGCTTGCACCGGTCTTGATCTGACGGTTGCTGCGTCGCTTCGACTCTTCTGACTCCTCGACTTCGTACTCGGTAGAGTCTGTTGAGATTAAGGAGAATAAGGAGCAGGCTTAGGGTTTCGGGCCTAGGCTTAGTAGCCTAGGCCAAGGGAGTGTCGAGTGAGTTTGTGCCAAGAAGAATAGTGATGCAATATGAGAAACAAGTACAAGTTACCGTAATACCCCGGATAGAAGCGCACCTGCGCTTAAAATAAAATATTGTTTTTTGGGGGGGTGCGCTTATAATTGAGTCAGATTTATAAGCGCATGCGCTTGTATAAAGGGAAAAATGAAAATCAATTTTGAACACACCATTCCGAAGCTCTCAATAAGGCGAATTCAACCGACCATGCACCAAGTGGGATCGTGCATGGTTTTCAGGCAGAAACCGCAGCGGTTCGGTTTCCCACCGCACAATGTTGTCTGGAAACATCGAATGTGACAGCCGTGACGAGGATGTTGTCGTGCGGCCCAATCAGAGCCGCATGCGCTGCGAGGCATGTGCATTCGGGCAGAACCATCTCGAAGGTTCGGCAAGATTCCCTGCCAGCGCAGCGTAGATGCTGCCACGCAGGCTCCTCTACGGGAGTGGGCGGGGGTTTCCTGGCTGTCATCGACGAGGAACCCAAGCCGCCACGCAGCAGGGGTCCCCGTCGTTGCCCATTTCTTCACCCTCGTCTCTAATTTTTTCATTCAGTTTCCTGTCTAGCCCGCCTGGCAGGCGAAGCCATGGCAGAATTTAGTGGGACTCACATCCTCTCCAAGAAGAAACCACGCCACTCATGGCGACTTACCGAAGATGGGTGGTATACCCGTGAGCCACCAGCGCCTCCAGTGCCACCGGATCCACCTGCATCCCCTGCTCCTCCTGCTCCCCCTGCACCCCCTGCTCCACCCGCTCCTCCCGCACCTCCCGCTCCTCCGAATCCGCCTGCTTTTGCTACGGCAGGTGCTCACCAACGGCCCGTGCTCCAACTGTATTTACCAGCCACGTTCGACGAATGGTTGGCTGAAGCGGACACACCCAAGGCCCGCGATGCACGCATCCAAGCTCCAGCGACTGCACCACGGTGGGGACAACCAGAAGCCTGCGCGTGTGATGAGTCGGCTGTGGGCGCCGACGATGATGTGGCTACCGTCAAACATGACAGCGGCGCCGGCGAAGCTGGAGGCAACGGTGAAGCTGGTGGCGACGGTGTAGCGGGCGACGAGGAAGACGTGTTTCCCGACCGTGACGAGGACGAAGACGGTGTGGAGTCCTGGTGGCGCGACGCACCACGCGCGAAGATGCCGGTACCGACGTATCCGCCCCTTAACAAAAAACGCCCCCACCCGTCTACCGAGAATCGAGATGCCCGCCCCCCCTCCCCCAGGCACAAGCTGAATCAACATAAGCGGCAGTCCTACACCGCCCAGGAGAAGTTGAGGTGGCTCGTGCGGCT